ATTTAATTTCTTCCATGAATAAAAATTAAAAACAATTTTAAAAAAATTAATTTTTTAAAAATTGTTGAATTTAAAATTATATTGAATTGTTGGAAAATGTCACGTCTGAAGAATTTGTGATATGTAATGAGATAAAATCGGTCACGATTTCATTCATTTTTTTTAAAAGTCACGTATCTCGTATCAGAATCGTGATATACTTTTCAAAAATATGTCACGATTCTGATACGAGATACGTGACTTTGAGAAAGTTATATCTTATCTCATTATAAAAAATTCTTCAGACGTGACATTTTCCAACAATTCAATACACTTTCGATTATAAGATTAGTACAGCGTGTTCAAAATAAAGGATAACGAAAGATATGATGTAAAGCTACGTGTACATTCAAGATATGTATAAATGGACAATATAAGAATATTCACGCAACAGTTTTACATTCAGTCAGTGTAGCAGTTTTGTCATAATTATATCTGTGCAATTTGTTAAATTGTTTTTATTATATATTACGATTTAAAGCCAAGTTTAATCTTTGGAAATGATTATCAATCCGCTTAATGTTGTTAGACTTTTATTAGCATCCATAAGTTCAATATATCTAATAGAAACACCAGTAACTGAAGCAGAAATAGAATTAAAAGAAAATATACAAAAATTATTGCTGGATAGCATTTTTCACTATAATGGGTTGGAAGTAACAGAAGAAACTTATCTCGATTATCAAGAACCGTATAAACTACATAATTCTGAAATAATTGAAGATGATGAAGAAGCATGGAGTGAAGATAATTTAAATTCTCATCCTCAATGTTCAAATGATGACGCAGACTTCGATAGTTCATATAAAAGACGAGCTGTTGAGTATTGGCGGAATTGGGACATTAATGAAAAAAATAAAAACAAAAAGAATCGTCCACTAAAATCAGTGCAACATCAATTTAAAAGAGTTTCATCTGAACGCCAATTAAGACGTTGGGAAGAACAATTACATTCAGGTGGAAATCGTATAGAAAAATTATCTTACATCTCCAAATTTACACATAATAAATTTACAGCAGCTGTTGAATCAGGATTCATAGTTCATGATATCGATCTACAAAGGTGGGCTTTACAAGCTCAAGAAGAAATAGGAAATTTAAATCCTATATTTAAAGCATCTCACAGTTGGGTATCA